GGAATACATAGAAAGATTAGTTAGCTCAGTCTTTCCCATAGAAGACTTTTAGGATAACTAGTTTTGTTTAGCTAACTGGCAGCTGGGTTTAAAAAAAAAAACCTGCTTCACCAACATCACTCACAAAAACTGCAATTTTTCTTAAAATCACCGGAAAGTTGTTGCAAGCACGAGTCCAAATGATACCTCTTTGATGAAAATAGGTTAATCTTGTTTGCTGTGTGGTATGAACAATCATGTTCCATAATTAAAAAGAGGAATCTATCGGTAATACTCTTTAACACATAGTACAAAACAAACATTTAAAAGTAATTCATTATAAAACTTAAATATAGTATCATACAAGATTTATGGTATTCATTATTTAGCGTATATCAATGTGAATGAATTCATTTCCCAAGCCAAAAAAGAACAAAAAAACAACATGCAAAATTTCCCAGACATAGGGAGTGGTGCTTAAGATATAATTGATTATTTTATTTTCAATGTTTCATTTCTCTTTCCTCAGCAGATCAAAAAAAAAAAAAAAAACCCTCAGCAACTATTTCTGGGATTCTTGAAAGGAGTAGGAGGAGTACGGTGCCTGCTCCTACTCTTTCAGCATTGATTTTCCTCACAATCTGTGATATGGTTTCTCAGAAATGCTGTTTGGCAGTCCTGATAATTTCATGTGTTTTCAAACTTAAGCCACCCAGACTACACAGTTCAGTATTTTCAGCTCCTTTCATTTTCCTGTTCCCTTTAATTATAGAAGTCTCTATTCCCTCTTTTTTTTTTTTTTTTCTCGCAAATGTGGTCAAGAAAGATACTAAATGCTACTATTTGTAGAAAGAATCTGCGCTTGTTTTTCTGCGGACGACAGCACAGGTTCTTCCCGAGCCGAGCAGCCGTGAGGGGCGATGCTGGTGGGCGCTCGCGCAGGTCTGTCCCAACTTTCCGGACCCTCATCGCGCCCTGACTCGGGTGGATGTGGCATGTGCCCGGGAGGGGGAAAAGCAAGTAAACACTCTAATTTTAAACTTGCACTGTAAAGCACTTTCCAAATAGTAATAGTGGAGCTTCGCGTCAGACCTGAATTTCCTTCTCAGCCCATTCCCGAGGGCCCCTGAACTCGGCTTCGCGTCCCGCCCGGGTCCACCGGGTGCCGCCTGCTGACCCCGAACGGCGGAGCGGAGCGGATCGCGAAGCCCCGGTGGGCGGGTGGGCGGCCGGGTGCACGCGCTCTCCCGGCCTCGGGCCAGGACGCGAGCCCCGCGCTCCGCGCCGGGCGCCTGGCTCGCCGCCCCGCTCCCGGCGCGCCGCCTCGCCAACAAACCCCAGTTTGAAAGAAAACTTCACGCGGCCGAAATGAACCTCCCCTCGCCGTTGCAATCCTTCCTCCCCGGCCGGCAGCAAACGTGAGATTTATGAGGACCGCGGCGGGAGGAGCGGGAGGAGCGGGTGGAGGTGGCCGCGGCGCCCTGGGGAGCGGGCTACCTGCCTCCCCCTACCCCGCCGCCGCCGCCGCCGCGGTAGCCGGGGGTGGGGTGGGGGGCGGGGTCCGCCGACCGGGGCCGACGGGCGGGGGCGCCGCGGCCGGGCACGCGGGTGGGCGCGAGGGAGTGCGCGCGTCGCGGGGCCGCCGGGCAGCACTTGTCCTGTAATCGATTGCCGAGCGCGCCGAGCGGCCGAGCGCGCAGACACGCGCACACGCGCCCGCCCGCGCGCGCTCACACACACACACACACACACACAGACACGCACAGAGACACAAACACACGTACTGGCGTTCAGATCCCGTACGCCCCCACGCCGTACACACACACACACACACACACGCACACACGGCGCGCGCACGCTCCCCTGCTCGCTCGCGCCCCGGGCCCCGCCACCCGCCGCCGCCGCCGCCGCCAGCCCGCCCTCCGCCCGCGGGCGTCTGCGCGAGCCCGGCCGGCGGGGGAGATGTGCTCGGGCTGCGCCGGATCGGTTTCTCGGGGTTTGACCAGCTGTCCCGGGCTAACCCTGCTCCTCGCTGAAGATGGAGGAAGTAAAAACAGGATTACCCTTAGCTACAGATCCACTGCCTTAGTTTCCACCACCAACTGCAGTGCACAAACACACGTTAGTCACAGGAAAGAAAGAAAGAGAGGACACACTAACAGTAAACACAAACAAAAGGGTGATGGGATTATTTTACTGCATGCACTGCTGAGGTAAATCTCCGCTTGGCTTTTGCGTGGTGAAGAGCAGCTCTTGTTTTATTTGTCTTCGGATTCATAGATTCTATATAAATATGTGTATGGTTTGCAAAGCGGGGGGTGGGAGTGCTTTCAAAGTTAAGTGTGATTATATAGCATCTCGTTTTGCACTGTGATGTGATCAAATGACTTGTTGCTGTTAACCAGTAATAATAATAGGGGTCTTTTTTTTTTTTTTTTTTCCTCTGGGAGGGAATGGATTGTGGTTACGATTAGGGCAATGATTTTTTGTAAAGGACGCTCAGGGAATCGGGTCGAAGATGATGTCCTCTGCCTTCATGTATCGCCCCGTTTTTTTGTAGTCTGTTTCTGGGATGGTAATGGATTAATCAGTTCTCATCTCAGTAGCTGTCATGGATTTGGACTTGTTTTGCTTTGTTTTAACTTGAATTCCAAGAAGGAAGATTGGGTAGCCTGGAATAAATTGCAGCTGTCCAGATAGAAGGTAAAATCCAGATCCTGTTGGAATTAAGGGGAAAAAAAAAAAACTGGTATGACACATGTGAAAAGGCAGCAGTTAAATCACTTTGACAGGTTCTGGTACGGGCGAAAGAGATGGAATTAAGATTAATTTTTTTTTTTTCCTTTTTTTTGCCAAAGGCCAAAACCAGTCCTGTGAAGTTGGCCTAGGTTCCTTGCTGGTTCTGCCTGACTGTCCCTTCTCTCTTACCACCCCCCCCCCCCCTTCCTTTCAGTTTTCTTGTCTTAGCTTTTGGTCGATTCTTAAGGAACCGGTGGATCAAGTTTTTCTCTTCTTGTTAATCGCATTGCTGTAGCACTGACTGACCTCTCTCTCTCTCTTTCTCTCTCTTTTTTTCCTCTTTCCTGAAAGTACGTGGTGCCATTCCTGAGTGACTTTTCCTACTAGACCATCCCAAAGGGACAAGGGGGAGGGGTAGAAGGAGGAGGAGGAGGAGGAGGAGGAGGAGGAGGAGAAGGGGGGTGTTCCTTCTCTCTCATTTCTTAGTTTTGTTTATCAGCCGATCTGTTTGCTGGATTTGGGCTTGGAATGACCCACCTGTAAAGTGCTTTTCCTTCCTCCTCGCCTTGAACTCTGCAGGGGGCTTGGCTTGGAGGGGGCAAGGGAGGGAAAGAGAGAAGGGGGAAACACAAAAAACTTCTTTCTTTCTCTCTCCGTTTATCTTCAGCCCGACATTGTCACCTCCTCTTTGAGGGGTTAGAAGAAGCTGAGATCTCCCGACAGAGCTGGAAATGGTGATGAATCTTTTTTAATCAAAGGACAATTTCTTTTGTATGTACATTTCGTTTCTCTTTCTCCTTTTTCTTTCTTTCCTTATCTGAGGGTTAATAACCATTTCATTGATGGGGCAGACTTCTTTCGCTTCTCTTTGACGTGTCTTTCTGTTTGATATATGTGTGTTAAATGTGTACATTTTTAAAGAGATAAACTCATTTGTAAAATATCCGAAGAAACTGCTCCCCTTTTAAACTTTACGGATCCCTTTCTTTAAAGCCTTATGTAATCATAATTTGAAAGAATTTGATAACAGTACAGCAGGTTGAAATTTAAGTGCAATGTAGTGGCTGAGTTGGGAATTTGATCTGATTATTCCATAAAGAAAGAAAGAAAAGTTTTTTTTTTGGGGGGGGGGGTGTGTTGGGAGGGTGGTGGTGAAGAAGGGGAGGGGAGGGAGAAGGGAAGTGGTTTTGGAGACAAGAAGTGAAGCTGCCTGTTTTCCAGTAAGTAATGGAGAAATTCCAGGAGCCAGGGCTAAATATACTTGGCGATCAATACAGAAATGGCTCATTGTGAATAATTTAGCTGCTGGTGCAGTGAGAGTTTTGAAACTAAAGGCAAAAAGGACCAGGGCCAGTGGAAAATAAAATAAGTAAAAATCTCCTCAGGACTTGTCAATTCCCAAACTTTTTGATTCAAAGAGTAGTTACGATTATTGATCTATTCATTATGTGAATCAAAGCTAGGGGGTGTCATCTCATACAATTTACTTTTGTTTCAGAGAACTAAGTTCTGTTTTGTGTCATTGGGGCATGAAAATATTCCCCAAACTTTTTTTAAAAAAGTGATTCCCTCCTGCACAGCCAGAAGTTTATGAAATTTTCAAATTCAGAATGCATTAAGTAGGCTTGGCATTTGTATCCAACCATGGTCTGGCAGGAAATTAAGGTTACATTGAACAGGTGCTTACACAGAACTTGGGGTAGGCTAAAATGTCAATACAAGTCAGGGAGTAGTTGGCCAACGGCTGCAGAAGTCTCAGAGACACAGTTGGGCACTAAGTTTTTTGTTTTGTTTTGTTTTGTTTTGTTTTTTATGTTTGTTTGTCCTCCCCTCCCTATTAGAACATGATGAACCAACTTGCAACAATTGTGAATAGAGCTATCTGTACACTGGGGAAGTCCTCAAACTGCAGCGTGATTGTGGGAAGTAGTAAATGGTAAAATACTTAAATCCCAGTTAAAGTTGGCGATGTGAGGTGTAGACCCTCTCCCCATTTTTTTCTTTCAGCCACATAAATTTTGATTAAGACAGTCATTCCTTTCTTGTTACAGCCCATCTCACCGCACACTTATCTGTCCTATCCTATCTCCAGCAGGAATCAGATCATTTGCAGAAAGAGTTCAGTGACTTGCAAATGAGCACATACAGTACGCTGTAGTATGTTTCTTGGGCACAGGTTGCAGCAGCAACATGGACTAACTGGAGCTTCAAATAAGTTAAGAATTTAATGGCAGATACTGAAAGGAATCATTGTGCTAAGGGTATAATCTTTTATTTTGTAGCACTGCACTTTGACTATGGAAACAGAGGCTATTGATGGCTATATAACATGTAAGTATTTTCCTGTATTTGTTATTGGTAATAAAGTTACCTTATTATTACCTGTGTATTACTTGCTGAGTTACAAGATTTTATTTAGAATTCTGTCCTTTTTTTTTGTTCACAATGTCACCTTTAAATGTGTCTCAGTAAATAATAGCATAGAGAAGAAATAAGGAAATCTAGAAATATACTTACTACTTACTAAGTTAAGGATAGTGTTTGTCAGTAGTAGTTTAGCAGATCAAGACTATCCTGCTTGATTTTTTTCATCTATTGTAAATTTAGACTAGTCAAGTTGCATATATAAATATATATATATTAGTATGGCGTGTACTAAATACTTGCTACTCAGTAGGCTAATTTTTCAAAACATAATGTGAAAGAAAAGCATCTGCCTTAAGTTTATATTTCATTAGCCAAGTCTGTTTTCAAACTGATAGCCAGTGTTTTGGGAAATGCGCATTAAAAATACTATATGCTTAATAATTCAATTAGGTGTTTAAAAAACCTACTTTTTTCCAACTAAAAGACACTTTAGAAATCACCTACCTCATTTCCCCTTATTTTACACATAAGAGTATTGTGATAATAAACTTTTGTTAATTTTTTTATTGCAGCTTGATTGTGGTTCTTTGTCATTTCATTCATTTATTGTGTATTTCTAAATGATATTTCCTTATAGTTTCTTTTTAAAGGAAAATGTATTGCTTAAAATCACAAGAGTTAAGCTTGCCACTGTGTATATGAAGCAGTGTTAGTAATTAGACTTTGTGTGAGAATGAATAGAGACCAAAAGCTTTTATTTTGTGGAAGCAGGTGACAATGAGCTTTCACCTGAAAGGGAGCACTCCAATATGGCAATTGACCTCACCTCAAGCACACCCAATGGACAGCATGCCTCACCAAGTCACATGACAAGCAGTAAGTCTTCATTTTATGATTTTTTTTTCTATTTCTCGCGCAACAGACTTGAATTTGTTAGGTTTGTGTTCTCTCACATTGTGGTAGAGCTACTGCTATAGATTTTGCTAAAGAAAGAACAACACAGATTTATTCCTGTTCATTCTGGTATCATAAAACATGAGCCTGCTTACTAGTTTGAACTATCCCAAGGTGGCTTTTGGGAGCTGGTGCTTACCTGTACCAGGTAAGAAATGTTAGGATTTGTTGATTATCGTTTTGTCTTGCCAGGTTTATGACTGGATTTGTTGTTGTTGTTGTTGGCTAAAAAAATATGGAAACTGTCACTTCCAAGGGACTCTTTGCAGTAAAAAGAATTAAATAATTTTATGCTGTCTTGTATAAAGCTAAACCATCAGTTATAGTATTGCAGTGTTACTTAGTTTAAAAAAGAGTGAAGGTTTCTCCTCCAAAGCATTGGAAGTGAAGTGTAATTGAAATTTATGAAACTCATTTATATCTGTTTCTCTAAGAAACTCGAAAGCATTTTGTTTTAGATTATCTAGAGAATGAGAAAATTTGGAAGAATGTTTTGCGCTTGGGATAATAGTTTGGCTACTGTTTTATAAAGAGTCTTTCAATGATGTAGTCTACAGTGTTTTGTATAAAAAGCAACTTACATGCTGTCATTGACAGAAGACAAAATAGTTTCATGTTTAAGGATATTGTTTTCTCTTAATTACAGTGTTTCAGTTTAGTTATCAAATACAAGTACTCTATTACTCTAATCAAAAGTTAATTGAGATCTTGTTTTCCCTTATCTTTTGATGTGTATTATATTCCTATATAGAAAGGACATCTGTATAATAACATTTACAAGTTTTCTATTCGGGTAATATATGAAGCAAAGGCATTTCCCTTAAAATTAGTCACCTACTTAATTTCCCCTTATAGTCCCCTACTTAATTATGAGAATATTCTTAAGTTAATTTTGATAATCTGGGGAGAATAACTTTCCCTTTCTCAGTCCCTCTTACAGCCTTGAAAACTTAAGGTTAATATAAAGCTACAAGCTTTGTGATTAGTTGACTGCTAGATCTAGGCAATGGTATATAGATTACTATTGAATACATCCTGCATTTCATTAACTTTAAGTGATTTTAGCTACTGACGTGAAATTAGGGTTGAACTATTTTAATTTATTTATTTAAAAGTTTTGTTTCTTTTTATTAATGAGGAGAAGTTCCTAAGAAAATTTCATTCTTCAAGTAGTCTTGAAGTTCTTTTATCATTTAGAAAGAGGAAGTGAATAAAGTTAGTGAGTGACTGTACACTAGATTATAGTGGTAATCTCTTATAATGGAAATTGTAGCACTAATTTACTTCCTTGCTAGTTAATTTGATAAAAGTTATGTTACTATTGCAATGCAGGCAATAGAACGTTTACATTTTAGCATTTAACGTTCTTTGATAGGGTATATTTTTATTTTTCAGACAACTTTTACACATAATTTTCTAAAGGTAAAGACAGACTTTTGCACAGTTTCTGTTAGTTAATTATTTAGCTGTTAGCTTTAGAAACACTGAATATATGTGGTAGAGGGTAACTGTTAATCAGAAACTTGGCTGTCATCCCCTACCCAACAGAATATCAGGAGGAAAATGCTATTTAATTGGTTAATTGGCTCCTTTATTTGAGATTTTTTTTTCTTGACTTTTGCAAATACTCGCTTCAAACGAGCAGTTCACTCATCTTTAATTTAGCAGTGCAGAGTATAAGCATGGTTAATTTGAACAAATAAGAACTGTGCTTTTGAAGTCTGAGCTTTTCTCACCCAACAACAGTAAACTTATGTTTGGTAAAGAGCTTTTTGTGTTTTGTTTTGTTTTGTTTAACTTACTGGCCTGTGGCAATTCCATGTTAGTACAGCTTTTGGCTAAGCAGCATGTGTTTTCAGGTTCTTTTCCAAAGAGTTGCAGGTTAAATATTTTGGCTGTCGCTTCAGAGTTGTCTGTTGCATCCTTTATGTCGCCTCTGTTTACAGTATCTAGGTTACCCACTTAGGTGTTAGATGGAGAAGATACCCATTTTTCCTCTCTGTTAGATCTAGGAGAATATCAGCATTTTAGATTGCCAAAGCAAATAGAGGCAGAGAGGGACTCTTGTCTGTTAATTAGAACAGAGACCCAGAATTGGTCACTCAGCTGTTTTTCTGTCACTTGGAATAATTTTTATGTGTATGTGTGGCCTGTCAAATCACTTGTGTTTGAGATCACTGGTTTCCCCTAACCCTTTACATGCACTGTTGACTTTGTAAATGAAAATAATCTATTTGTTTCCTGCATTTAAAATGTATCTTCAAATGTACCTCCTGGAGGGCTGATGCTTGTAAAAACAGAATGACAATTTTGGTTGAAAATATTAAAGCCAAAAGTAAATGTGAAAACCTTTATGATACGATACTCTCTAGTGGTGGGAAGGAGAGGATAAGAGTATGTGTGTAAGTGGGGAAGTTATTTTTAAACAGTGTGGCAAAATAAATAAAACGACTTTTATAAAGTAAAAGTCATCAAGTAAGTATAAGGTGTGATAGCCCGTATATTTTGGCTTTCGGAAAGTGATCAGTATTACTTTAAGGTCCTGGTCGTTGTTTTGGTTATTTGGTGACTGTTGTAAGATGAAGGGTGTCTGTGCAACTTGCTGCCAGCTATTGTATAAAAAAACCATGACAGCAGCTATCATTATTTGACAGCACTAGAATAGAGAACCAGGGACTTGGGAGAGAACTAAAAAATGTTATAATGCCTGACAGTTTTGGGTTTTAAAATTCAACACAGAAAATCACCATAAAATGACCTCAGAGATATTAGTGATCCCAACAATTTATAATGACTGCTTCCTATTTTTTAGAATGAATCTTCATAGAGAAGGTTAGACTTGTTCTTCTGGAATAAGGATCTCTTTGATAAGAAGATGGGCATTGTTGGCTGAGATCATTAGTGCACATATTGAGTCTGCTGACAATCTTCGGTGTCAGGGATGGCAGTATGCGCCTTGATGGCTACTGGGAATGCACAGTGTTAAGTGATTTTAAAAATAGAATCTGGACGTTAAGAATCTCAGATAGGCAACTCAGAGAGAAGACTGCAAAATAATAATCCATATTGTATTTTGGCCCATCAGATGAAATTTACTTTCGAGTCCTTCTGTTTCTGGGTTATTGTGTTTCCTTTTCTGCATAGTTGTTTCAGTGTTGGTTTCAAACAGTTCTACGTCTGCAGCTGATTATGTTGAAAATTTTTAAGGTTCCTAAACTTGAGGTTAATCTTGTATTTCTTATCTTCTCCTTTTATAATGCCAGTAAGTCAATCTTTGCAGGTCGTAATTAAATGATATGAAAATGTTCATACATCATGCCACGAAATTTGTTTCTATTACTTTAAAACTTTTATGTGGATCAACTGTGCAGTCAGTTTGATGGCCAGGTGGCATGTATGGAATTGGAGGAAGGAGTAAGTCTAGTTTTACAAGGCTCTGACCAATAATCACGTCGGGGAATCTAGTTTATTACTTTCAGAGAGCTTCATATTCACTTTTTCTTAGCTGGTTTTCATTTTTAGAATCTAGTGAAGAGAAAGGATATTTTGGTTTCTTTTTTTTTTTAAAAAAGAAAATTGAGCCTTAAAGAAATCCGTTGACATATTAGATGACAGAGCAGAGAGAAGAAGTTAACAAGATTGAGACATAAAAACTTGATACTACGTTGAGGTTTGTTAGATAACTGGTGTCTCTACAGTACCATCATTGCAGGGTGACCGCCATTTCTCAGACTGACCCATGTTTTAGTAACAAAAACAGTATTACAGGAATAAAAGAGAATTATTACGTGGGTGGAGCAATATCAGATAATCCTGTCAAGCAGGTGCTCTAATGTGCTTTTTCAAATATAGCTTATGTTATGGGACTCACCGTAATTCTGAGCTGTCTTCCATGGCTTAGTTGGCCGTCACCCTTGGTTGGATTTCCAGAAGACACACCCTAATATAACACCAGATGGCCTTGATGTAAAATCTTGCTCCGTTTTGAATCATGGTAGTTATGTTTGTGTATATACCTGAAGTACTGTACATTTAGTTCTTACTTGTTAGAAAAATTTCTTTTTGAAAAAGGTCTGATTTGATTTCTTTATAGCTATCAGAAGTAGTGTCAAGACTGTGTAGCAAAGGAAAAACAAGGAAACTAAAAGGGAGTATATACTCATACGTAATCAACAGCAAAAATGCTGTATTGTTTTCTTCGCAACTCTCCCCTAGTCCCATTGTCCCATGTATTTAGGCCACTTACAAGTGAGAATTAAGGTTTACAATTGAAAATCTAGCCAATGAAATAAATGCTTGACTACCTCTATAGTTGTCCAAATTTGTGTTTCCTGCTGGATTTTTTTTAATGTAATATGATTGATTAGATTCTATTGGAGTTTTCCATTAAGCCATAGTGAATTAAGGTCTCTAGGTCCCATGCTCTTTCTTTACTTTTCATATATTGATAGATTTTGAATATTGATATACGTTGATCGTAAGATGGCCTGGGACAGAGTCCAAAAATGAGACAGGATATGTTGTTTTTCTTTACTTCTTTCCTTTATATCTGTTTATATAAAATAAATTTATTGATCTATTTCTATTTTCCGCTCATGAATTGAGACTCAGAATATCTGTGTTAGGTAAGGTGTTTTTAGGAACTCTTTCCTGTACTGTTGATGTTGTAGGAGCATGCTTTAGTGAGTGCACATACGGTGCTCAATACCATGCTAGACTAGACTTTCCATATTACTCCTTTACATAAAAACTCCATGGGATAAATAAGCACTTTATTTTATTATCAAGAAAAAAAAAAAAGAGAGAGAGAGAGAGAGAGAGAGAGAGACTTGGAAGGGGCTTTGGAGTTGTAGCAGCCTGTGTTGAAATCCCTGTGCTGCCACTAACTTCCTGTGTGGTCTTAAGCATTTTACTGAAAGCTT